GTGTCTAATTTATCAATTCTTACCTTCCATGAGAAAAACTAATGCTGCATTATGGGTCTTGCCCCTATCAAGGATAATTTCATCACGCATCTCTAATATGAATGTTTTGTGATGAAAATCTTAGAGGGATTAGTACCAGACCTGCACACGAAAATCACTTCCCATGAAAGCAGAAGACTCGGCAGGAGATGCAACATTCTCCCAATGAAAAGCAGTGGTGCCATGAGTACACTGAGAGACAACACAACAAGTGTCAGGGGCCTAAGACTGTTCAACTGCCTCCCAGCATACATAAGGGGGATTGCCAATAGACCCCTGGCTGTCTTCAAGAAGGCACTGGACGGGCACCTAAAGTCAGTACCTGACCAGCCGGGCTGTGGTTCGCACGTCAGTTTGCGTGCGGCCAGCAGTTGCAGCCTGGTTGATCAGACCCTGGTCCACCATGAGGCCTGGTCTCAAACCGGGACCCTGGGGCGTTGACCCCCATAAAACCCCTCCAGGTATATAATAAGGTATTGTCATTTGTCTCATACAAAGTCATCACAAACTGCATTAATTAGGCGTGAAAAATTATAATTTCGTTCACAGTGCCACCGACGGGGAAAACACAACCAGGTTCATAATGTACAGTCACTGCTTAGAGTGGACCTTGTTTATATGTGATGGTTCTCTCTCAATTATTAGCTTATTTACATTCGGTTATTTACATTCGGTTATTTACGTTCGATTATTTACGTTCGATTATTTACATTCGGTTATTTACATTCGATTATTTACGTTCGATTATTTACATTCGGTTATTTACATTAGGTTATTTACATTCGGTTATTTACATTAGGTTATTTACATTAGGCTATTTACATTAGGTTATTTACATTAGGTTATTTACATTAGGTTATTTACATTCGGTTATTTACATTAGGTTATTTACATTCAGTTATTTACATTCAGTTATTTACATTTGATTATTTACATTTGATTATTTACATTCGGTTATTTACATTCGGTTATTTACATTCGGTTATTTACATTCAGTTATTTACATTTGATTATTTACATTCGGTTATTTACATTCGATTATTTACATTCGGTTATTTACATTCGATTATTTACATTCAGTTATTTACATTCGGTTATTTACATTCGGTTATTTACATTCGGTTATTTACATTCAGTTACTGGGATCACAGTTAAGCTTCTCGTTCCATTTTGCACAAATTAACTTAAACAATTCATCTGGTTCCACTCAAGTTCTGGGAGATCAAAGCTTACTAAGTTTACAGTAATTAAATTTATTATCCCTAGCTGCACATAAATCCAAAAGTTGATTGCAACTAAGAAATATCGATCTCATTGTAGTTGCAACATAAAAGCAATCTTTAACCGCTGGGTAAAATATTAGATATCTAAATAAGCTGATAAATTCTATCTTTCATCTCATTTTCCTTTCTGGAAGTGAAAATTCGACCATCTTACTGAGGAATTTATTGTTTCAGTGAGATGTTTAAAACATATTTTAAGTTACACTGAGACTTTATATCACCTGCCATAAAGTTATATTTATCTTGTGGCTACTCTGGGTTTATTCCCTTTATTTTTATGCTGACAAGGAAATTTATTCATCACTGACATCCTTACTGCTGTTAATTCATTCATGTACTAATTATATACTACATATAGGTATCTGCAGTATATAAGCTTCTTCTCTGCGCATATTCTGTACTTTTATCAATATCGATGGACTGAATACATCGACTCCAGGCTGAGGGACTGATTACCTCAAACTACTACTATTCTTATTTCTCCATTTTTCTCTTTATTGGACTGATGAATCTGCTGGCAGACACAATAAAGAAACCCAAATGTTACACGTGTATCTCATTCATCAACTTGTCGACTTTCTAAACCATTCATATAAATAGATAATGATGTGCAACACGTGAGATAGAAAATGTTTGTAGGTAATTCAGATTAAACTAAGAATAATAATAATCTTTATTTCTGCAAGTACATGTACAAGGTATACAGTCCTAGCTGACATCAATGACATGCTACTATATAGAAAGTCCTTTGTTATGCAGAGCATTTCGGGAAAATTAGGTCAATTTTGTCCCAGGATGCGACCCACACCAGTCGACTAACACCCAGGTACCTATTTTATTTCAAGACTTTTTCCTATTTGACCTTAATAAACTTCATTGCATTTTTACAGGGAATCTTATGGACGAAGCCATCGGCATTTTTGAGGGGAATTCTTTATCAAGAAAAATTTTCATTACTGAATGAAGATTTTTAAATATTGCTTTGATTTTAAATTTCTTAAGCAGAGAAGAAGAATCTTTGCGTCAGTATATTAAATTAAATATTGTATATTCCTTCTGCAAAGAATGTTGTACATGAATTTAAATAATGTTACGCATGTATATAATTATTACCTTACTAGTTTTCCAAAGTTTTTTTTTAACATAATATTGGTTTTACAATAAATACCAGAAGTGTATTACACTGACGTACTTTAGTAATGTGATTTTTTTAAACAAAGATTAATATTTTTCTAGCCAGTTAACAAATGAGGTCAGTGTAGCGTAGCACATGACTATTTCTTTCATCTTCCTATACCACTGTTTGGCTACACTGTCTTCATGAAAAACAATGGAGAAAAAATATTACCATGTCGTAATGAAAAACGTGTCTTGAGATTTAATCAGATAAGATAGAGAAGAGTTTAATTTTAACACTGCTGCTGCTTCTGCTGCGTCTGCTGCGTCTGCTGCTGTTGCTTCTACTACACACTTCTAAAAATACTTATGGGGATGAATGGCTCTCGTGGCATTTATGTTCTTCATTTAATGGAAGTACTAACACCAGACACAAGAAAACAGGGACAGACTTTATGGCTCAAGTTTTCGTTGTCAGTCACTCTGAAAGTCAGCCGAACATGACACTCGTCATTAGGTGAGAGAAAAGCCATTTTAATTATTTAATCACGCCCAAAGTGGTCAGGACATTTAATCTTTCTTATCAATCTCTTCCTGTTTTCCCAACTATTTTCCGCTGTTCAGTCTTACCTCCATCCATCCCCTCCTCCTTCTGTGCAAGATAAGACAAGATTTGTTCGGATTTTTTACGCAGAGGGTTAGTAACCTAGAATAAACCAAGAAAGTCAGTACGTCATCGAGGACTGGTTGGTTTATTTCCATTGGAATCCTTCAATCTTGTCCCCCAGGATGTGACCAACAATAGTCAACTAGCACCCAGGTACCTACTTACTGCTAGGTGAACACGGTGGTGTAGTATACACGATCATCTGAACATGCTTGAGACAACACACACACACTTTTATTAATATACGCCAAAGTGGTTGGGCCACTTACCTTTACGCCCTCCTCAACCCCTCTTTACCCTTCCTCCATATTCCATCCTTACTTATCCTCCTTCCTTCCCCAACTTACCAAACCTCTGGAGCTTGAACCCAGAGTTTCAACCCGGCTGGGGGCTGAACCACGGATACAGCGTGTGAGGCGAGAACCTTGCCAACCTAGCCAGTAAGAGCCGGAGAAGAGAAGTGTGTTGAGAAGACACGTGATCTGTATTTAATTGAATCTAAGATTTACAACATTTTTATCCAACTGTTTCTAAAAGTTATGTATCAATTTGTAATTACGACAACAACAGGTATTCTGAGGGAAAGTAGAAAGTTGAAGGGAGTAAGATGGATGACAGGTGCAGAGGAAAGACGATAATAGAGAAAAGAGGTAAAAAAGGTGGAGAGGAAAAACGGTGAGAGGTGTGGAGAAAGAGAGAGAGATAGAGAAGGCGAGGAAAGAGGAGGTAAGGAGAGAAGCTTGGGAGAGGCGGGGAGTGGTAGATAGGGAAGGGGCGGGCTTGCAGGGTTGCCTGACTGTGTGCTTAGGATACCTATCAGCGACCGCAAACATGAGTCTGTGTGTGTGTGTGTGTGTGTGTGTGTGTGTGTGTGTGTGTGTGTGTGTGTGTGTGTGTGTGGCGCGCTCACCTATTTGTGGTTGCAGGGGCCGATTCATAGCTCCTGGCCCCGCCTCTTCACTGATTGCTACTAGGTCCTCTCTCTCCCTGCTCCATGAGCTTTATCAAACCTCGTCTTAAAACTATGTATGGTTCCCGCCTCCACTCCGCCACTTTCTAAGCTATTCCACTTCCTTACAACTCTATGCCTGAAGAAATGCTTCTTAACATTCTTTGACTCATTTAAGTCTTCAACTTCCAATTGTGACCCCTTGTTTCTGTGCTCCATCTCTGGAACATCCTGTCTTTGCCCACCTTGTCTATTCAGAGCAGTATTTTATATGTCGTTACCATGTCTCCCCTGACCCTCCTGTCCTCCAGTGTCGTCAGGCCGATTTCCCTTAACCTTTCTTCGTAGGACAATTCCCTTAGCTCTGAGACTAGTCTTGTTGCAAACCTTTGCACTTTCTCTATCTTGACGTGCTTGACCAGGTGTGGATTCCAAAATGGTGCTGCATACTCCAGTATGGGCCTGACGTACACGGTGTACAGAGTCTTGAACGATTCCTTACTGAGGTATCGGAACGCTATTCTCAGGTTTGCCAGGCGCCCATATGCTGGAGCAGTTATCTGATTGATGTGCGCCTCAAGAGATGTGCTCGGCATTATACTCACCGCAGGATCTTTTTCCTTGACCGAGGTTTGCAGTCTTTGGCCACCTAGACTATACTCTGTCTGCGGTCTTCTTTGCCCTTCCTCGATCTTCATGACTTTGCCTATGGCGTTGTTAAGTTCAAGGAGCAAGTTGCTGGACCAGGCAATTTGTCATTTTTCCTGTACCTATCAGTTCGCTCTTCTGAAACAGAGTAAAATAATCAGGAGCAGATCATTATATTTTTCCCCACATATTCCTTAAAAGTGGAAATAATCTACAGTCTGCTTCCTCTGTTTTTAAACTGAAATTTAAAAAAAAATATTGACCATCTCACCTGTTAATTCGTTGGTATTTATTTCAGTTGCCAGTTGGGAGCCGAAGACCTCATCCTGAAAATACGTTTTCCCTGTAAGTATTGCCCAGGATTCGACATTTTTAGAATTTCGTGCATATCTTCCACTAAATCATCCATTTCCTTGTTAACCTTTATCCTATATATTTAATTTTCTTGACAAACGACTTTCAACCAACACTTTTCAACTATATTTACTTTTCGACATCTCTGTCAGTTTTTCAAGGTAACTGTGAGACCTACAACTTAAGTCATGAATTTGCTAGCCCTCATTCCTTCCATCCTCACTACCTTCACTGCCGTGATGACTTATATGAATATATCACTGCTAAAACAGTGCTGCACTTAGGAAATATTAACAGCGGCCCCAATTGGAACCCTGGAGTGCCTCTTTATACAGACACCCCCATTCGTCACCACATTATCAATCTGGCATAGCTCTTGTGGACCCTCTAACTGTCACTGAATCGGAAAAACTGTAATGAAAAGTTACAGTTTTTTTTCATGAAGGAGTTGTGTGGCCTGGTATAAGAGAATGTATTTGCAAGTCCACAGTACTACCGACTGGAACGTAGTGACTCTAACCTAAAGATCTCATACCTAGAATATTCTTCATTTTGGAAATTTGAGCGCTGGCCACCGTAGGTGGAAGTTATGGGTTATGCAGCACGTACACTGAACTTTAAGATGGAATGTCACCTGCAATTATGACTCTTATACGGCATGTTGAAGTGTTTTGGTTAAGCTAAAAAACACATTGTTCTGTTTAATGGTGATATAAACCATGCCTCTACTACATACCTTATTCTAGCCCAGTCCCTTTATTGCATGATGAGCTTAGCAGTATATGTCAGTATACCACGCCAATGTACTGTTTGCCACAATCACTGCAAGGGACGGTGTATACTTCGGCATTAATTTTATTCTTATCTGTTGGCCCTTCTTCCGGTGAAATCTTTAATGGTCTTTGAAGTGATAACTGCGATAATCATTCAGATTTTCTTAAACGCTTGTGGAACGATCAGTATTGTGTAACTTGTAGGAAAAAACGGAAACGACTGACAATAATCATTGTTTTTATACATGAAGAGACTTGTTTGGAGCCCTGAGTTGCAATCCTGGAGGCTGGAGGATGTCTGAACCAAAGTGTAGCAGAGCATAGATGTTACTGAAGATGCTTCATTCCTTTTCTAAGCAATCTAGGCCCAGAACCAGAACTCTCCATCTAGTTTTGTTTCCGATGGGAGGAGTGAATTAGATCGCTTTTATTGGCAGACTTCGGGTAAACGTTAAATTTGAGATGTTGGTCAAGTTTGATAAACTGGATGTCGAGAAACGGAATAATGTTAAATTCTCTTCAGCGTGTGAACTGAATCAAAGGTTCAACTTTGTAAAAGTTTGAAGCATCTGGGAGTGAATATAAAACCATTACCCGCGTAATGCCTCCAGGAGATGGATGAAGGAAATGATGATGGAGAATGTTTCTGTATCCACTGACTGTGGATACAGAAACATAGCATGAACAGTACCATCTGGTGACCCCCATGGCCATGCCGAATTTCTCTATATAAAAGGTATTGTTGAAGATAAAATACTTAAAATTATTACAAACCTCCGTGAGGACTAAAGCTTGACAAGGCAGAGAAGCGCTATATCTGTCCTACTTTTTCATGGTAGGATATCAATAGCTTGTGAACAGTGATGTGATGTCTGGGGTATCTAGCTTCATGTATTTCGTGTCGGTAATTTTCCTGAATAGTTCTTTTATTTCGTGTGCAAAAGACACGGATAGGCGAAAATTATGGGGAAAAATGTTGTACTGGTCACAAGGTTAGGTTAGGTAAGGTTTGTCAGGAAACAGAACAAGTGTTTCCTGACCCGAGTCAGGAAACAGCTGGAGGTTTCGATTGTTGACATTCATTTAGGTTTGTGGACTGTGATAATAATCCATCTCAGCATTGATACACAATTTAAAGTTTACAATTTGTAAAATATATGTAAATTTAGCTAACCAGGTAATATGAATTGTCTCTGCTGGTCCTCTTTCACTGTTTGAACATCCAGATGCAAGACTTCCACTTACGAAGAAATAGACACAAGAGCAACAACTGGGTCTCTTTACTGTACAATAAAAATACCCAAATGTGGCACGTGTGTATAATTCTTCATCTTATCGGTATTATTTACCATACATGTACAACTTCCGGTTATGTTCCTAGTAATTCCTGCACAACTGCTTATTTTCACAACCCATTTTTCTCTTCTATACAAACCCCAAGTTGCAGTAGTCTTCCAGTGATTCTCATCTCCTCAACATTTCCTCATTGTTCCACCTTCAAATAATTCTCTTCTACTTCCTATATTACTACTATTTCTTCACTCTCTCCTCACCTTTCTTCTTTTTCCTCCTGTTCAAAACCTCAAACATCCCCGAACAATCCAACATTTTTACTTATCTTATTTATTAAGCAGCTGCGCTCACTGTTCATTTGAAGTTTTATTATATAATTTGAAGCAAAACCTTCTTTCATCTTTAAAATTATGTAAATGTTACGGCGGGCGAGGCTGTGGCGGCAGCTGTGATGATAGGAGAGCAGCGAGGCAGCATACACGACCCTGTAGCATTGTTTTGTAGCCGGGCTTAGGCAGCAGCAGGGTACATGATACTGTAGCAGTGTCGTGGAGAGACGCTCAGGCAGCAGCAGGGTACATGATACTGTAGCAGTGTCGTGGAGAGACGCTCAGGCAGCAGCAGGATACATGATACTGTAGCAGTGTCGTGGAGAGACGCTCAGGCAGCAGCAGGGTACATGATACTGTAGCAGTGTCGTGGAGAGACGCTCAGGCAGCAGCAGGATACATGATACTGTAGCAGTGTCGTGGAGAGACGCTCAGGCAGCAGCAGGGTACATGATACTGTAGCAGTGTCGTGGAGAGACGCTCAGGCAGCAGCAGGATACATGATACTGTAGCAGTGTCGTGGGGCGGGGCTCAAGCAGTAGCAGGATACGTGACACTGTAGCAGTGTCGTGGAGAGACGCTTAGGCAGCAGCAGGATACATGATACTGTAGCAGTGTCGTGGGTCGGGGCTAAGGCAGCAGCAGGATAGATGACACTGTAGCAGTGTCGTGGAGAGACGCTCAGGCAGCAGCAGGATACGTTACACTGTAGCAGTGTCGTGGGGTGGGGCTCAGGCAGCAGCAGGATACATTACACTGTAACAGTGCCGTGGGGCGGGGCTCAGGCAGCAGCAGGATACATGAAACTGTAGCAGTGTCGTGGGGCGAGGCTTAGGCAGCAGCAGGATACATGACACTGTAGCAGTGCCGTGGGGCGAGGCTTATGCAGCAGCAGGATACATGACGCTGTAGCAGTGTCGTGGGGCGGGGCTCAGGCAGCAGTAGGATACATGACACTATAACTGTGTCGTGGGGCGGGGCTCGGGCAGCAGCAGGATACATGACACTGTAGCAGTGCCGTGGGGTGAGGCTCAGGAAGCAGCAGGATACATTACACTGTAGCAGTGTCGTGGGGCGGGTCTCAGGCAGCAGTAGGAAACATGACACTACAACTTTGTCGTGGGACGGGGCTCAGGCAGCAGCAGGATACATTACACTGTAGCAGTCTCGTGGGGCGAGGCTCAGGCAGCAGCAGGATACATGACACTGTAGCAGTGCCGTGGGGGGGCTCAGGCAGCAGAAGGATACATGACACTAGCAGTGTCGTAGGGCGAGGCTTAGGCAGCAGTAGGATACATGACACTGTAGCAGTGTCGTGGGGCGGGGCTCAGGCAGCAGCAGGATACATGACACTGTAGCAGTGTCGTGAGGCGGGGCTCGGGCAGCAGCAGGATACATGACACTGTAGCAGTGTCGTGGGACGGGACTCAGGCAGCAGCAGGATACATGACACTGTAACAGTGTCGTGGGGCGAGGCTCAGGCAGCAGCTGCTCTAAAAATTTTCTAAATTTTTTCCATTTTCTGATATTATGTCAACACTTAAGATGGTGTCACATTCTCTCCCCTCCTTCCCCCCCTTTCTCTCTCTCTCTCTCTCTCTCTCTCTCTCTCTCTTTCTCTTTTTTACATATGGTTTTACAAGGTTAGGTTCAGGATACCTAACTTCATTTACAAGCCAAGAGCTGTTACTTGCATCAATTCATTTGAAAACCTTTCTATTGTTTAGAGATATACAGACAGGGAACAAGATGAAGTTGGAGACATCTGTTCGCCAACGATTTCATTTGGTCAACTGGCTTTATTTTGTTGATGTTATGCTGCACGATTATGTTCCAGACACGAGTCACTCCAGGAATAAATCATCTCAAATGAAGTTATGCTCTGCAGAAAGGTACAGTCAGTGTGTAGATGCTGTTTACTGCCCTTCTTGTTGTGTAGAAGCTCAATTTTCGTTATCCTCGAAGTGGAGCAAAGTGTGGTACCCTGAAAAAAAACATACCACGGGCAGGGTTAGAACCCGCGACTAGAGTCTTAGAACTCTAGACCGACGCGTTAGCCACTGGGCCAGTGGCTAACGCGTCGTTCTGGAGTTCTAAAACTCTCTGATCGCGGGTTCTAACCCCACCCGTCGTATGGTTTGTTTGCAATCATGTCATTACGATTTCATGAGTCGTGGTACTCAGACAATGTTAGCCTTGTACGGAACAGTAAGGCCACCCACCTCCCTCCTGTGTTGAAGGCTTTGCTGAAATGACAGATCTATCCAGGTTGGGTCCAGGCGAGAGATGAGTCGTCTTGATCTGTTCTCTATTTCGTCAAATAGTTGCAGATGAGACCGGGAGGGAAGAGGTAGGCATTCCAAGAAAGTTGAGCAGAATCAGGAGTGGGAGGAGAAGGATCACTACCAGAAATATCAAGAAGAAAAAATAAAATGAGAAGAGGAGGAGCAGAAAGATGAGAAGTAGCAGAAGAAGGATCAAAAGCAGAAGGACAAAGATTATTTAGAGGAGGAAAAAGAAAAGAAAGTGAGTAAGGAAGAGAGGAATAGAAATATGCAGCAGAGAGATTTCAAGATTGAAGAGACAAAAGAAATAA